GCCACAACGCCCGGCTATTTTTTGGTTGCAGCCGTCATTGTTGTTTGGCGGGTCCGGGCTGGGGATTCGAACCTGCCACCTTAGGTGTAGGTGGCTGGCGCCTTAGCCGGTTGAGCTATAGGCGCCGAGCCCTAGTCATTTAGTCTTCACACCAACCCCAAGAGGGGCTCCATTTTCCAAATGAGAAAACTGAGACTCAGAAAGGACACCGTTGGTCCAGGGAGACCCAGCCAGGGAAGGCTTCAGCAGTTGTCAGCCTAAATGCTGAGTTTAGACTTGATGACATGCCTCCCACTCCCTTCTCACTCCAGGAAGAGGAAACGCAGGGTCAGAGTCCAGCAGTCTAGAGCTGGGACAACAACAATAATGATGGCAGCTACCACTTTTATTGAGCACACACTGTGTGCCAGGCATCATAGGTACATTCTTTTATTTCTCTGGCACACCAGCCCTGGGAAGGAAACACTTGCTCTCTCTACTTTCCAGATAAAGACCTTGGGGCAGGGAGGTTAAGTAACCTGCTGGAAGCAATGCAGCTAATAACTAGATAGAATTTAAACCCTCACAGTCGGAGGCCAGCTCCCACTCTCTTAACCATTGGGCTACAGTGTCTCTAAAGAGAGGGGATAGCTTTAGGACCTTTCTTACCTTATCTTAAAATTATTAGTTTATGGCTTCAATGAATTAATGAGGATCATACAGTATAATCATTATTACAGTGGTACAGGTACCTACTACTGACTCATCACCTACTATCCTCTCCCTCTCCTACCTCGTTACACCCACACTGACCTCTCTGCTATTCCTAGATCTTGTTAGGCACACTCCCATCTCAGGATCTTTGCCCTGACCGTTCCCTATCCCCGGAAAGTTTCCTGCACACATCAGCCCAACTTCTTCCCTCCCTGCGTTCAGTCTCTGCTCAAACCCCACATGCTCAGGGAGACCCTCCTGGATCACCCACCTAAAACATCTCACACTGCAGTCTACCCTCAGCCCTCCCCCAGCCTGCTTTATTTTCGACATTTTGCTTATCACTACTTGACAGTGAAAAATTAGATAACCATATCTCTCCCCACTGTCAGTGCTCTAAGGGAGGGACCTGTGCTTTGTTTCTTCCTGTGTCTCCAGCTCCTAGACCAGAGTCAGGGAGCACCAAACAGGAATTTGTTGAGACCTCCATTTTGGTCAGTGGCTGTCCCAGGCATTTCACCTGCATTAAACTGCTGTTTTGTCAGAAGCATCCCAAGCCAAGGAGACTATTTTATCGTCTGCATTTTATTTTACTTTTTTCTTCTCACTTATTACAAACCTCTTCAGATACGCAGAAAAGGAGATAGAGTGACAAAATAAACTCTCATATGCCCATTAGCTTGATATAATTCATAGAAATATTTGGCTATTTTGCCTTTATTTTCTTCTAAAGTAATTTAAAGTAACTACAGACCATTCACCCTCAAATACTTCAGTGAGCATTTTTATTTTTAATTAATTGATTTTTTTTTGAAGCAGAGTCTCATTATGTTGCCCTTGGTAGAGTGCCAGGTTGTCACAGCTCATAGCAACCTCAAACTCTTGGGCTTAAGCAATTCTCTTGCCTCAGCCTCCCAAGTAGCTGGCACCACAGGTGCCCGCCTTAAGGCTCAGCTATTTTTTGTTGCAGTTGTCATTGTTATTTAGCAGGCCCAGGCCGGGTTCGAACCTGCCAGCCTGGGCGTATGTAACCAGAGCCCTAGCCACTGAGCTACGGGCACCGCCTCAGTGAGCATTTTTAAAGGATGAGAACATTTTCCCCACCTGACTACAAAGCGATTTTTGTAATTGAGATATCTACTTTTTTTGCTAAAGTGTTTTTAAGGTAAATTTTGTCTTTTCACCCCTGAATATTTCAGCATGCATCTCTAGATAGGGATATTTTCCCATATAACCGCAATACCATTATGCCCCAGACAAAACTAACAAAAATCCTGATATTATCTAATAATCAGCCACATTTTACTTTCCCAACGGGACACGTTTTATCTCCATTTTCATAGCTGAGCAGAAAGATTGCCCGAGGTCCCACAGCAGGAAGAGAGAGAACTGGGATTTGCTTCCCGGAAGTCTGGGGTCTTTACTGCCACTGTGGCTTAGGCTCGGTGAGTCAGGGCAGAGCCAGGCTCCCCACAGCGGGATGGCCGCACCCTGGGAAGGGAAGTTTGAGGCAGGGAAGGCCGCGGGGGAGGAGGGGAAAGGGCCCACACATCCGTGGCTGACTTGCTCTTTCGCAAAACTTCTGGGAGGAGCCCTCGGGGCCACAAAACTGCCTCCTTCCCTGTCCTGGGAGAGAAGAGGGGCAGGAAGGTGGCGCACAGAAGCGCCCTCCGGACATGGGCCGCCCGCTGCTGTCACTGCTGCCGCCACTCCTGCTGTTGGTTCAGACCTGCGTCCCAGGTAAGAGCTGCGTCTCGGATGCTGGCGCTGGAGACAGGGTGTGTTGGGGTCGGGACGGGAGAGGGGAGGTCAAGGTGTTCGAGTTGGGGAAATGGGGGTCAGTTCCAGCACCGTCCCCAACCAATAATAATTATTCTCGTGCTGTTTGCAACCCTACGCAGCGCATACCTGGCACTCAGGTGCTCAGGAAGTATTGGCCAAGCGAAGGCATTTAGTGACAGGAACCAGTCATCATTTTAAAGAGCGCTCTCTTTATTCCAGGCTCTCTTTTAAACTTCCTTGCAATTTCAAACCAGCCGCATGGAACTATTATTAATTCCGTTTCTCAGAGAAGGAAACGGGACCATGGAGAGGCTAAATAACTGGCCCCCAAATCACATGAACGTCCTGGCCCCACGGGCTCTCCATCCCGCACCTGAAGACAGGTGCCCACTTCTACAAAAGGTCTAAAGAGAGATCGATTCTGGGGCTGGGGACCCAGGGCCTGTTCCTTGAGGACACTAGCCTTTCACTTCTCTCTCCCCGACTTGACCGTCGCACTTGCTTCCCCCGGAAAAGCGTTGGGGGGATGGGTTTGAGAAATGAGAGGCATTCGAGAAGGAACTGAGTCAGGGCGGAATGGGGACAGGCGTGGGGGTGTGCGGCGATGAATAACCTGGAAAGCTCTTGAGACCACGGGAGGCCGAGAATGAGTAACAACTCTCGAAAACTCCTGGTTTGGAGAGGGAAAAGCGATGCCCGGGAGGCTTACCCGACAGGGAAGAGCCTTAGGGCGGGGACAAGTGAAACGGGTCATAACTTCGGGGAGCAGCTGGGGCCCTGGAGACACCTACAGAGAGGAGCTGGAGGAGGGGAGAGAAAATCTGGGAGTAGGTAGGGGGCGGGACCAGACAGTCTTGGGGGGCCGGGGCGGGGAAGAAACGTCCGGGAGGAGCTAGGGGCGGGGCTATGACATCTGGGTGGTGGTCGGGGTGCGGCTAAACGTCGGTGAGCAGCTGGGGTAAGGGCTGAAAGGTCTGCGGAGAAGCTAGGGGCGGGGTTCAGAGGACTTCTATGGTAGCTAGGGCCGGGGCTAGAACCTTCAGGAGCAGCAGGAGGGCAGGGAGGAAACTTTGGTTGCGGGGAAACTGGGATATTTGAGATTAGAATTTCGGAAGGGAGGACGGGTGGGATGTGAATTTCAGAATAAACTGGTGGGTGGAGAGAAGCAAAGGAGGAGGGTGGGATCTGGGACTATGGGTTGGGAGGGATAATTCCACTAGGGCATTGGTGTTGCGAGCGGAGGTATAACGTAAAAATTAGGCTGCACTAAGCATAGAACGTCCCTAACAGAACTTGACAGGAGGAACAGACCTAAAGCTGGTGGGGCGGCACAAAGAGCCTAAATGGAGTCTCTCCTGATAGAGAGGGCGGAGATAGGACTTCCAGGATATACCTGGGGAGAAAACAGAATTAAAGAGAAAACGGGCCAGGGCAGAATTGTGGGGAAGGACTTGTGGCAGAGATAGAACATGAGCCAGCGATAGACTAGGAGTACCGACGGTCAGAGTTCAGAGGAACGTGGAGCACGAACCTGAGTGGACCGGTTCTGGGTTTGGAGGCATGAAAGGACGAAAGGGGATCCTGGTACGGAGGGTGTGACCCCCTCTTAACTCCTCTCCCCACTTCTCCCTTCAGCCTTCTGGGGCCTGCGGTGCAAGCGGTGTGAGAGCAGCGGGTATTGCTGGGTGGACGAGTGCCCCCTGGGCCAGGACCTCTGCAGGACCACGGTCATGCGCATTTGGGAAGGTGAGCTCCCCCTACTCTGTCATGACAGGATACAGAAGTGACCAAGGAGCCTCTCACAAGTTAATGAGGGAAATGCAAACTGAAACAACCTGGAAATTCCGGTTCACACCCACCAGATGAGCGGGCATTTAAAAATCTGACAATACCGGATGGTGCCTGTGGCTCAGTGGGTAGGGCGCCAGCCCCATATATCCAAGGTGGCGGGTTCAAACCCGGCCTCCACCAAATTGCAACAAAAAAATAGCCGGGCCTTGTGGCCGACGCCTGTAGTCCCAGCTACTCGGAAGGCTGAGGCAAAAGAATCGCCTGAGCCCAGGAGTTGGAGGTTGCTGTGAGCTGTCTGATGCCACGAGGGCGATAGGGTGAGACTCTGTCGCTACAAAAAAAAAAAAAAAAAAAAGTTAAAAAAAATCTGACAATACCAGAGTTGGTGAGGACATGGAGCTACAGACCCTGTGTTGGAGGGCAAATGGTAATTCCCCCACTCAGAGTAGTTTGGCAAAATCTGATGATTAGCGTTCCCTAGAGCCAGCAATTCAGCTCCTAGAATGTAGAAATGCCAGAAACATATGTATAACAATGTTCCTCACAGCAGTGTTTGTGACATGGAAAACTGGAAAGAAACTCAAGTCTGTCAGTAGCAGAGATATAAGCACATAATGGGATGCTTCACCCCAGTTTAGATGAAGGACCTGGAGCTACAAATATCAATGTGGATGCATCTCAAAAAGATAAAATTGAGAGAAAAAAAGCCCGTTGGAGAATATGATACGTTTTTATATAAGGTTTAAGAAAACATGTGCAACAGGCTGGGCACCATGGCTCACACCTCTAACTCACACTTTGGGAGGCTCAGGTGCAGAAGGATCCCTTGAGCTCAGGAGTTTGAGACCAGCCTGAGCAAGAGATATCCCGGTATTGTGGTGGGTGCCTGTAGTACCTGTAGTCATAGTTACTTTGGGAGGCCAAGGCAGGAGGATAGCTTGAACCCAGGAGTTTGATTTTTTTTTTTGAGGCAGAGTCACACTCAGTAGAGTGCTGTGACATCATAGCTCACAGCAGCTCCAACTCTTGGGTTCAAGTGATTCTCTTGCCTCAGCCTCACAAGTAGCTGAGACTACAGGCACCTGCCACAACGCCTGGCTATTTTTAGAGACTGGGTCTCACTCTTGCTCAAGCTGGTCTGGAACCGGTGAGCTCAGGCAATCCTCCCAGAATACTACAATTACAGGCATGAGCCACTGCACCCAGCCTGTGTTTAAGACAAGGTCTCACTCTATTGCCCAAACTGGAGTGCAGTGGCATGACCACAGCTCACTGCAACCCCCAACTCCTAGCCTCCCAAGTAGCTATGACTACAGACACACACTACCATGCCTGACTAACTTTTAAATTTTTTTTGCAAAAACAGGTTTGGTCATGTTACCCAGGCTGGTCTCAAACTCCTGGGTTCAAGTAATTCTCCCACCTCAGACTCCCAAAGTGCTGGGATTACAGGAGTGAGCCATCATGCCTGACTAACAATAACTTTTAAATTCCATTTCTCTCCTTTCTTTCTTTCTCTCTTTCTTTCTCTCAGACAGAGTCTCACTATGTTGCCCTTAGTAGAGTGCCGTGGCGTCACAGCAACCTCAAACTCTTGGGCTTAAGCGATTCTCTTGCCTCAGCCTCCTGAGTAGCTGAGACTATAGGCACCCACCAAAACACCCGGCTATTTTTTTTGTTGCTGTTATCATTGTTGTTTAGCTGGCCCAGGCTGGATTTGAACCTACCAGCCTCAGTGCTTGTGGCTGGTGCCATAACCACTGTACTACAGGCACAGAGCCTCTCTCTTTCTATCTCTTTCTTTCTTTCCTTCTTCCTTCCCTCCCTCCCTTCCTTCCTTCTTTCTTTTTTTTTTGACAGAGTCTCACTCTGTCACTGTAAGTAGAGTGCTATGGCCTCATAGCTCACAGCAACCTCAAACTCTTGGACTTGAGCAATCCTTTTGCCTCAGACTGCCAAGTGGCTAGGACTATAGGTGTGTACCACTATGGGTATTTTTTCTCTTTTTAGTAGAGATGGGGTCTCGCTGTTGCTCAGACTGGTCTCAAACTCCTGAGCTAGAGCAATTTACCCACTTCGGCCTCCTAGAGTGCTAGGATCACAGGCATGAGCCACTATGCCTAACTTAAATTCCACTTCTTATAAAGACTATCTGAAACAAATATAGCAACATGCTAATATTTTACAAAGTTGGTTGACAAATAGGCAGTATTTCTTATAGCATCTCTTACACTTTTTGGTATGCTGAAAGCATTTCCCTTTAGAAATTCCCATTAGAGGCATCTCCCTGCTGAGATCTCCAAACTTGAGGTGGGGGGCAAGGGGTAGATAAATCCAGAAAGTCCTAGTGATAGTGTATCACTAAGAGAGCAGCTTTCCTGTGAGTGAAAGGTGAGGATGTAGGGATAACTCTAGAAAAAGACAGAGTTGGACCCAAACAAGAGGAAAGGACTGGCAAGGATCAGCCCTGGGAGTGGGTGACCTTGAGACCAGGAGTGTTAGAGGGTAGTAGGGCTCAGGGGAGCCTCTGGGGTAATGAACATCCATTCCTTACAGGAGGGGAAGAGTTGGAGGTGGTGGAGAGAGGCTGTGCCCACTCAGAGAAGACTAACAGGACCATGAGCTACCGGACTGGCTCACAGATCATCACCCTTACAGAGTCTGTGTGTGGGTCAGACCTGTGCAACCAGCCCAGCCTTGGTGAGTGGGGCAGCCCTTGCCATCCCCAACTCAACCTTATTGTCATCCCAATCCTGTCTCTGATTTTATATCACTTCAACCTCAACTCCATGCCCTACACCAGTCCCAGCCCCAGCTCAAACCCAGCTTTAGCCCCCCCATCCTCAACCCCAGCTCAGCCTCACCTCCAATCACAACTCCAACTTCATTTTACTACAACACTTTTTCCAACTCAAACCCATCCCTATTCTAAACACAGCTTTTAACATCATTGCTACATCAACCTCATCCGTATCTCAAACTATCTCCAGTCCATCCCCAGCTGCAAACTTATCCTCATCCCTAACCCAGCCCCATCTGGCATGTTTGTGTGTATGGTTGTTATGTAGAAGATGCAACACGGGCCTTCAACAAGCTCACACATGTGCTTAAGATGGTCTCACTGATGTCTGTCCATCGGATTTTTTTCTGTGGGGATAAGAGATGGTCTGAGCAATAGGTGCTAAGGGGCCAAGATACAAGCAGAGACTCAAAGTTCTCAAGGGAAGAACTTTGCTAGGGGCTGGGAATCCCCTGGGATAGATGGTCTTTGACTTAGGCAGTTAAAAAAAATGTGGAGAAATTTCCCTAAGCCCCATGGAGCTTCATGGTTTCAAGTTCTGGTCAGTTTTTAAAAAAGACTTAGAAAGGGTCAAATTCTCCCAAAGTGCCAGAGGAGAGGAAGAACAGGGAAAGAAGGGATCCCTGGCACATGATCAGCAGAGATTCCTCTTCCTGGCCCCAGTGAGGAAGGAAATTGATTAAGGCCAGTCCAGTCATAGTGACGTCACTAAGCAGAGTGCCTGCGTATGCTCTGGGTTTTCTTTGTTCTTCATTCAACTGGATTCTGCCTGATTTTCATGCATCCTAACCACAAACTTTCATCTGTTGGCAGGACTGAATCAGATGCTTTTTTTTCAGGAAATGACAAAAGAGTAGACATTGACTTCCTCTCTCAGTGAGACCTGCTTAAGGAAAGCACTAATAGGGCAGTGCCTGTGGCTCAAAGGAGAAGGGCAGTGGCCCCATATGCTGGAGGTGGCGGGTTCAAACCCAGCCCCAGGCCAAAAAAAAAAAGGAAAGCACTAATACCTGGGTCTAAAGAATACATCTAATCAGGAATGTTAGTTAAAATATTTAACAATATTGGTCAGTGTCAGAACAAACCCCTGGAGACCCACTGCTGGACCAGTGTTACCCTTTCACTGATGGATTACAGGGACATGAGGGTTAATAACTGATATGCCTATATCATCCCTCTTTCTTTCTTTCTTTTTTGAAACAGTCTCACTCTGTCTCCTGGATGAGTGCCATAGTGTCATAGCTCACAGCAATTTCAAACTCCTAGGCTCAAGTAATTCTCCTGTTTCAGCCTCTCTAGTAGCTGGGACTGCAGGTGCTCATCACAAGGCCCAGTTAGTTTTTTCTATTTTTAGTAGAGGTATGATCTCACTCTTGCTCAGGCTGGTCTCTAACTCGTAAGCTCAAGCAATCCACCTGCCTTAGCCTCTCAGGGTGCTAGGATTAGAGGTGTGAGCCACCTTACCTGGCTCATTTCCATTTCTAGTGCCATCTTACCCTGCATGTGGCAACTCAGATAGTTGGTTGAACTGTACTCTGTGCTTACATAATGTTGGGGACTCAACAGTAACCAAGGCAGCCTTGGGCTCTGCCTCCATGGAGTTCGCCATCCAGTGTGTTCTGGGAGTGTGACACAAAAGTAGATGACAGACTCATTACCAGAGGGTGACTGGTTAGATTAATCAGGCTGTGAAAGGGGCAGGACAGGACGAGGGGTCAAGGTGGGATCAGAGGAAAGTAGGTACTGTGGGATGCCAG